ATTTTCATCATTTCAATTCAATTATTATTTTCTACAATTTTTAAATAAAATTCTTCTTTAAATGAATTATTTTTAATAATTTTTGAAAAAGTTCTTCTTTGCGAATTTTTAAATCCATTTGTTTACTATTTGATTTTACGTGAAATTTCCATTCTTCGAAAATTCTTCAATTAAATATATATACATATTAGAAAAAGAAATTTTAAATAATTTAAAAAAGAATTCAATTAAAATTAAACTTTTTCAAAAATATTAATTCTACAGAGTTATTAGTAAAAAGTTTAAATGATTTAAATTTTTAAAGATTTTAATTTGAAACCTTTTCAAAATTCAATTATTTCTATAAATTCACGCTATTATACTTTTATAATATTCAATTATTATTATCTAAAATTTATTTCTATTTATTTCTTTTATTTTTATCATTTATTTATTTATAAACTGGATAAAAATAAAGAAAAATATTTCGAAGAAGGAGCAATTATTTATTTAAATATACCATAAAATCGATACTAAAACACATTAGCTTTTCTCTGTTTAAATATAATTTCAAATCAATACTTATTATTTAAAACAATATTTATTTATAATATCTATTTAAGTTAATTTCATCCTATAGATTTATAATTATTTCTAAAGGCAGGAAAACTTAAATAAAAAAAAATTTTAGTACCTTAAAGTCGATATTCTTTTTTTAAATAAAATTATATTTTTAAAAATTTTAAATACCCTAAAGATTTTAACTCTAAGATTTTAACTTTCTTTTAACATTATTTTCCTTTTTTTTATTGAAACCTATCAAATTCTAGATTTTTTTAGATATAATTTCAAATAAAAGCTGGCAAACAATTCTTTTAAATACTTTAGGAAGGAAACTATTTTTTCATTCTAAAAAAAAGTTCTTTTTTCTATTGAACTATTTTTAAAAATCCATAGATTTCTAATTTCTATTGACTTCTACAAATCTTATGAACTTCTTTAAAAGAACAAAAGTTAACAAGTTTTTTCTCAAATACTTTAAAAATTGATAGTACTTTCTTTCGAAAAGAACAATTTTTCTTCTTTTTTACAAAATTTTCATTTACAAAATTTTACAAAATTTTAATTATTTTATTTAATTTATTTAATTTATTTAATTATTTACAGAATTTATTTAATTACTTATTTAATTCTATAATTCTGTATAAAAATGGAACTTGTTATTCTATAGATTCACATGAATTTTTTTTTTATTTTTACAGATTTTGTTAACTTTGATAAAAAAAAATTTTCATTGCAATAGCGTCAAACGTTGAAGAGGTAAAAAAAAACCCTTCACACAAAAAAAAAGAAAAACAGTGCGAATGAGAGAAGAGACGGAGAAACGGTGAGAGACTAAAAAGACCAGATGTTGTAACGTTTAGCGTCGACGCGTGTGAGTAAGTTTGCTAAGAATTCAGAAATGGGGGAGTGGAGAGACGAGAATGAAAGAGGGACAAAGCAAAAAAAAAAAAAAAAAAGAAAAAAAAGAAAAAAAATAAGGGGAACAGAAGTAAGAAGCGGGGGTTCAATAACAGGAGCAGGAAAAAAGGACAGAAAAAAAGAGAGAATGAGAAGGAGAAACTGAGAGGGTTAGGGGGAAGGAGCGGGAGATGAAATCTTTGTAGCGGATGTTGGGAGGTGTTTTTATGAAAGGCGAGCAGTATATGCGTTGACGTCAATTATGTAGGTGCCACGGCAGATAACCGCCAATGGACTGCGTATAGAGATCTCCTTAATGGGTTAGGTTCAGGTCAGCGGGGGTTATCGTTTCTAGCAGGGATTTTCAGAGAGTAGAGAGAGAGTGAGAGAGAAATATAGTCACGATCGTCGCAAGTCAATGAATCGCGCAGGGTGTGCGGGACATAAGAAAAACATTCGTCGTGCCTGCTGTTAGCATATATGCACTCTGCGAACTCACCGACCAAGAACAAAAGGAAAGGTGTCGAGAAGAATATGGAGAAAACAAAGGAATCGCAACTACATATCTTTATTATAACTTTCAAAACAAAAATTAAAATTTCAACCATTTACGACTAATTTATTTCTAATGTATTATTTTTTCATTGATGATGACAATTTTTTAAATCTGAGACTACTTTATAGTTTATAATCAGCGAATCCGAATTTTATTTTCCTTCTCCGCCATCTTGGATCCGACATTTTCAAATTTAAATATCTGACTGTAGATTCGTATAATAAACTCAGAAAATTCTAGTAATAAGTTTCAAGCTTATGTATTTGAACAATTTTTGTTTTCCGCCATATTGAATCCGCCATTTTGTATTTTAAAAAACTGACATCGAATTTTTAATCGCAGCGAAGTCAAAAAACCTTCAAGCAAATTGGATCAAATTTTATTTTCGTAATTCGACATTTTAAATTTTAAAAATCTGACTTCGGATTCATAATAATCAACGGCCTAATTTATTTAAAAAAAAGAAAATTTTAAATTAATTTCCACTATGAATTTGAATAAATTGAGTCAAAATCCGCTTAGTAAAAGGTTAAGTTAAAGAAACAGAATAAACTATAATTGAATATTAAAAAAAAAACGTTGCAACTTAAATTAACAACAAAAAAGATTAAATTAATCCATTTTTGGACTAATTTTTTCCAGGAACAAAAATGTGTCTATAAATCAAAACTAAAATAATCATTTTAAAAATATTTTGATAAAATAATTCTTCCATGGATTATTTTAATCCTTGATGGATTATTTTAATTCATTTTGATGTTAAAATAATACTCCACAATTTTTTATGAACACAACTTTTCAAGTTTCATATATAATCATGAATAATAATAGAAACTTTTTTCTAAAATTGATTACTTCTACACACTAAAAAAAAAGTTTTACTTTTAGCCTGTTTTCGAGGCTGAATTTAAGGTGTAAACGGAGTCAGCCCCATTAAACAAGGACAGACTTATGTGAAATACATGGGCTGAATTTAAGGTGTAAACGGAGTCAGACTTTTTTTTTCTTGTGTAAGTACGTTTTTAATTTAATAACATTTATTTTAAAATTATACCCGAAATTTTTTCTCTATTCTGTGGACTCAAATTTATGCTCGTAAAGAAAATTTTTTAATTTATGTCGTTCCTATTCAATTTAAGTACACTTTATTGCCCTAGGCCAATAATGGACACTTTAGGCCCTAGGGTAATAATGGGTTCTTTATTGACCTGTGAGCAAGATCAATAAAGTTCTACGATTTTTATTAAAAATTTTACAAATTCAGATTTGTCACAAAACATTTAATTTTTTCCCCTGATTTACAGACAAAATTCTGTTTATTATTACATTAGAAAACACATGAACACACTAGATTATATCTTTTTGAAAAATTCGATTTTTCATCAATTATTGAATCAAAATTCTTCAACAACTGGAAATATTTTTAAATCTCTAATAAAATTAATTGGCAAAATTGAGTTTTATTTTTCATTTTTCACAAAATTTCCATTAATTTGATAATTCTTTAATCATTTCTTAAAAATTCAATTACATATATCTTTAAAAAATATAATAAAAATGTCTTCGAAACGCATAATTTTTTAATAAAATTATTTAAAATTTAAATAATTTAAAAAAAAACTGAATGAAAATGTTTCTTAAACTAAAAATTTTGAAATATTTTAAGTAAAATTATTAAAAACATAAACAATTTTTTAAATAATAATTAATTTTTTTTCAAAGTAGGAATTGAAATATTCAACAATAATTTTAGTATAAAAGCTTCTAAAATTAAATTAATTCTGAAAATTTCAACTACACTTTCAAAAATGGAATAAAAATTTCTCCGAAGTCAATAATTTTTGAAGTTTAAATAAAATTATTTGAAACTTAAATAATTTAAAAAAAAACTAAATATTATAAATTTTTCCGCAACCAATAATTTTAGAATTTTAAAGAAAATTATTTAAAATTTAAACAATTTTTTAAATAATAATCAATTGTTTTTGTAATTTTTTCAAAGTAGGAATTTGAAAAATTCAATAATAATTTTAGTTTAAAATATTCTAAAGTTCAATTAATTAAGAAAATTTCAACTATTTTTAACTAAAATCTTTTATATGTTAATTATTGCAGATAACTTTGCAGAAAGTTATTCTACTATGTATATAATTATTTACCGAAATAAGAAAAAACAAGTTTTTCTATCAAAATTCATTGTTATTTAAAAAATTCTGAAATTGGAAAAAAAATTCAAACAAGATTCAAGTTTCTGACGTTTTTTAAGAATGTTTTTCGACAACTGAAATTTTCAAGTTTGCAATGATTTTTAATAATAGAGACAAAAAATGGTTTTTAAGTTCTCTTTATTGTTCCTCTATTCTCTAATAATTAAATTTTTATTTCTTTTATGATTTATTAAAAGTGGCTAATTCCATGAAAAATTATGATTTTTACACAAAAAGAGCATTTTTGCCCACATGAGTGGTAAAATTTTTTTAATAAATATCTAGTAATTTATGCAACTCAGGCGTACTATGGTCACTTTACCTACCTGTACATGTGGATACTAAGTTCCCCCTTGTAGCCCAGCAGTCAATAAAGTGCCCATTATTGCCCTAGAGCAATAAAGTATACTTTATTACCCTAGAACTTAAAGTGACCATTATTGCCCTAGGGAAATAAAATATACTTTATTGATCTTGTTCACAGGTCTGTAAAGTACTCATTATTACCCTAGGGCAATAATGGACACTTTATTGACCAGCTGGGCTATATTAGTGGAGGGCAAGTATTCCACTAGACGATGTGTGAAAATTCACCTTCCTGAACGTATACCAGGAAATAGAATAATTACAGATTTTTATTTCGAGTTTCAATGTTTCAGTGATAAGAGTTTAGAGAACTGGGCGCAAAATTGAGTAGGCGCCTAAATCTTATCAGCTAATTATTAAAAATATTACTCAACAATCAAGTATATTAGAAATTAAAAATATTCTTTATTTGTAAAAAAAAGTTTTCTTACCGTAGCAGCGGGAAGCGTTGGCATCGGCTGTGAAACAGGTTCCAGACCGACCCTCATGCGTTTCGCATTGTCACTCTCATTTTCGCAGGCTGTCGCTAAAATTTGCTCAGCTTGCACTGAGGTCAAGTGTGCTGGTGTTGGTCTCGCCTATAAACAAAAAAAGGCAAAATAATTTTAATTCCTCCTTTCAATTTTCTTGCGCGCAAAAATTTCCACAAGAAAAACAAACTTACAGCATCCCAAGCAGCTCCTTCTCGTCCGCGTTTATTTCTTCGACAACTCTTGAGATAGGTCCTGATTCGTTTTCGAGCGCGTTCAGCAAATTCCGGGAATTGTCTCGTGCAACTGTCGATGATCGCCTGGATCTTCTCCTTGGGTTGCTTCGAAATAGGAACAATACGATCGAGATTCTCGTCGACGAAGAGCCTCACGAACATCTACGGATGGGTAAGCAAAACCAAAGGCGGAATGATAAACGAGTTCGTGCTTGAGCCGCGCGTGGTGCTTTAAGGAATTAAGAATTTAGCGGCAGGAGAGAGGGGCCCTGGCTCTATTAAACTAATTGTAATTAATTAAGAAGCAGTGGCGGCTGTAACGGCTCACGGCCAACTGCACAGCCATAGCTTGTGGGGGCGTTCCGCAAAAAAAAGAAAGAAAGGAGAAAAAAACAAAGAATAAAAAGGAACAAGAAAGAAACTAAGAGGTAGAAGTCGAGGGAAAGGAGAAATTTATACCTTCCTTCTTTCCTCTAATTTTATCTCCCCTTCGCTTCTTTTGTAACCATAAAAGTTAATTCTTTTTAGTTTCGCTCTTTCTCTCTCTTTCTCTCTCTCTCTCTCTTTCACCCTTCAAAGTTGCTATATATTTATAACAAGAGGTTGATTATGCAATTTTCCCCACATCCCAATTTTCACTTTCCACAACTTACTTTTCAGTTTCCAATTCGTATTTTCCACCCTCAGTAACAAAGAATCACAAAATTTTTAACATCCTGATCAAGAAACATTTTCTTCGACGTATTAGACCTATCGTTTGGAATTTTAAAAATCTACTGTCAGATTCGTAATCAGCGACTCTAAAAACACCCGAATAATAAGTTTCAAGCGAATCCTGTGAGTTTTCAAAAATGCGGTCGCCATATTAGATCCGCCATTTTGAATTTTGCTATTCTGACTTCAGAAACTTGTTTCTTGCACTTTAGGTCATAATATCTCAAAAATCTGAAGTGCTAGGGCAATTTTGAGGTAATATTTAGAATTAGGACGTTAAAAATCTTCAGAAAAGTATTTTTTTGGTTTTTTCCTTAGATTTACCAAAATTTTTCGGCATAAATAATGTTACATTACCGTAACGTTCAAAACTAAAACAAATTTAATTTTTGAGAGGTATACTTCTTAAACATTAAATTTTTTTTAAATCTTCAGGAATTTAGAGCTTACACCTAACGCTAAAAAGAATATTCAAAAAATCACCATTAACTACAAAAACAATCTACATCTAAAAATTAAACAGTAGCATTTCTAAAAACTTATTCTACATTTCTACAGTAATTAAGAATTAGTTTAGTGCTTTACTTTACAGTATGAGGATTTTTCTTAAAACTACCTGTGGCCCCAAAAAATACAAACTGAAAATTATATTTCCATCTCTTCCACAAGAATTTAAAGCTATTTCTGTGCTCTAACATAACCCTGAAAAGAATTTTCCAAAAATTAACTGCATTCGTAAATATTACCTCTCATAATTTTTCCACGCTTTGTTAAAAAAACACAATTTTTTAGAGAAAGACTAAAATATTTAAAAACATTACGAAATGTATTAAAATTTCCTGAAACATAAATAAAGATTTTAACCCAATTTATTAAATACCAGAGAAATTTACAAATCCGTTAAGTACTTTAGTCTCTACGTTTGTCTAAATTTCAAAAAATCCTATTTAAAAAAAACTGAAATATTCAAAAAAATACTTAATGTATTAAAATTTTCTACCACATATATCGAGATTTTAACCCAATTTATTAAATTCCAGAGAATTTTACGAATTCGTTAAGTAGTTTAGTCTCTACGTTTGTCTAAATCTCATAAAATCCTGTTTTTTGAAGAAAAATCCAAATATTTCAAAAAGTACGAAATGTATTGAAATTTCCTGAAACATATATACCAATATTTGAACCCAATTTATTAAATTCCAGAGTATTTTAAAAATCCGCTTAGCAGTTTAGGCTCTAGGTTTGTCTAAATGTCAAAAAATCACAATTTTTTAGAGAAAGACTCAAAAATTTTAAAAAATACGAAATGTATTAAAATTTCCTAAAACATAAATAGAGATTTTAACCCATTTTATGATATTCCAGAGTATCTTCCCAGGTAAAAATGATACGTACAAAATTCGTACGAATTTCGTTCAGAAATCTGTCCAGATTCGTTACAGAATTCCTATCGAATTCAAATGAAATTACTAGTGAAATTCGTGTGGCGTTTTGAAACGTTTTTTCGCACGAATATTCGTGCGAATAGTACCTAAATTTTTTAAAATGGATTTTCAAAAAAAAATTTCTTTCGAAAATCCGTATGGAAATTGGCACGGAAATTCTGTTGAAAATTTCTTCAAAAATTTTCGGCCAAATTCCCTTACGAATTTCGTTCAAAATTCAGGCGAATTACGAACGGATTTATTTTCGAAAATTTTTATAAAATTCTGCTTGGAAATTCATATGGAATTCCTCACGAAATGTCAGCTGAAAATTTCCTCAAAAATTTTCGTGCGAAATTCCATACGAATTTCCGAGCAGAATTTTCTAAATATTTTACAAAAGAAATCTGGTGGTAATTCGTTCGAATTTCATACGAATTTCATACGAAATTCGTAAGAAAGTTTCGCCGAAAATTGTTGAGGAAATTTTTAGTTGACATTTCGTGCAGAATTTCCCTACGAATTTCCGAGCAAAATTTTATAGAACTTCTCCAAAATAAATCCGTTCGTAATTCACTCGAATTTCATACGAATTTCGTATGGAATTTCGCACGAAAATTTTTGAGGAAATTTTTAGTTGACATTTCGTGCGGAATTCCATACGAATTTCCGAGCAGAATTTTATAAAATTCTCGAAAATGAATTCGTTCGTAATTCGATCGAATTTCCTACGGAACACGTGAGGAAATTTGTTCGAAAATTTTTTAAAAAATTGTCAAAAGAATTTTCGTGCAAATTTCCATACGGATTTCCGAACCAAATTTTTTTTTGAAAATCCATTTTTAAAAATCCGGGTAGTATTCGCACGAATATTCGTGCGAAAAAACGTTTTAAAACGCCACACGAATTTTGCTAGTATAATTTCATACGAATTCCGTAGGAATTCTGTACGAATTTGGCAGGATTTCTGAACGAAATTCGTACTCTCTAAATCTGAATTAGCTAAATTCCACTAATTTCCCAGCGATAAGTATATCACTGATTCAATTAGCGTATATACGCTAATTAATCAGTGAAATTTCACTAATTAACAGCGTATATACGCTAATTGAATCAGTGATATACTTATCGCTGGGAAATTAGTGAAATTTCGCTAATTCAGATTTAGAGAGTATGAATTGCGTACGAATTTCGTGCGAATCATTTCTACAATATATATCAAGATTTTAACCTATTTTATAATATTCCAGAGGGTATTACAAATCCTTTAAGTATAGTTTAGGCTCTAGGTTTGTCTAAATGTCGATGAATCCAATTTTTTAGGTAAAAATCCAAATATTTCAAAAAATACGAAATGTATTGAAATTTCCTGAAATATATATCGAGATTTGAACCCAATTTATTAAATTCCAGAGTATTTTACAAATCCGTTAATTAGCTTAGTCTCTGCGTTTTTGTCTAAATGTCAAAAATTCGCTATTTTTCAGTTTTCTTTGCTTAAATTCTATAAACGTATCAAAAATATTGAATTTAAACTTAACAGAATTCTTTCATTCATCATTCTTTATCCAACAAAAAAAAAATTGAGCAAATACGGTTAAGATTTACTTGAGTTATTGGATTTTATCTATAATTACTCGATATTTCGAGAATATATATTTGCGGTTTTTACTTTTTACCTTGGCAGCGATTCTTTACCGCGAATCTTGATTTTAAATAGCTTCGAATTGTAGTACCCTAAAGTAGCACTAAATTAGTTCTAAATTCTGTCATAAAAAATAATTCTTTGGGAAATGGTACTTGTAGGTTTATCTATATAACCTATATTTGAATGTATCTAAATTAATTAAGACAGTGAAAATATTTTCGAACAATAGATTATTGCAAAAAGTGCAAAATATACTTAATGATAACCACCGGGGGGTAGAAAGGAACTTTATTTATTTTTTTGTTTCATTAAACTCACATTGAAGGCTTTGAGACGTTCTGGATCGTGATGTCGTGGATCGAGCCTCTCATCAGCGTCCTCGTCGTCGTCGTCCTCGTCTTCTTTATTGCCGCTGCTGCTCGTCTCATCGTGAGCACTTCCCGTTCCTTCGCCGCCAGCGGGACTAGATTCTCTGTCTCTCTCCGATCGTGATGGTGTGCTCGATGACGCTGGCGGTGGTGTTTTCTTCAGGCCCATCGTGTATGATGCCCACAATGAGGCCATATCCTCACCACCCACTCCTGCAACGTTGCCCAAATTTGGAACCGCACCAACCGACAAATCATTAATTTCCGACGAACCGTTTCGTGAATCTGTAACAAAAAAAAATTTTGGTATTTATTTTTTTTGTTAATAGACAGAACCATGTGATTCCCACGCTCGAAATGGGACAAAAGTGGATTTTTTTGGTAGTCATGCTTATGAATAAAGATCAAACTTTGCGTGACACGACTGATTAGGTGGGATGTAATTTTTTGCTGATGTTCTACCTGTTGATCGATATTTTTAAACTTTGTGCTTATATACTCATGATTTTAACCCAAATTTCCGCTTTTGTAGCCTAAATTCAAAAAAATTGTGCCAATTCAGCTAAAGATTTTGCAATTTGGAATCAATTGGTAAAAATACCGCGTCTTTTCGAAAAATAGAAAAGCTTCAAAAAGTATTTTTGTGGAAACATCCTCCGTTTGGAATTGAAAGTCAGAACGACGAAAACAAAGCTCTAAATGAAAATAATTCTCCAAATATGTCGATTATTAGAAGTAAAGACATATTCCTTGTGAGAAGAATTCCTTTTCACAGTGACAGGGACTCTAATAGTTTAGCTTCGAGGACTTCATTAAGGCCAAACGTTCCGTTTTCGCAGAACGATTACGCCATACCTGGTAACCTCTGTTTAGAATTCCTGAACGCGCCCGCAAACCATAATCGTTTCAACTCTTTTGCAAAACTCTCGCAGCCCTGAGCTGAAAAAAAGACAGAAAACAACAAAAGAAGAGAAATTTCCATGTAAAAATAAGTGATTCTCTTCTCTCTTTTCGGGAAAGGATGATAATGGCGATGAATCATCATCATCATCCTTTCCCGAAAAGAGAGTAATAAATTATTTCCTTCCCTAAAAATATACATTAATCCCTAATCTGCATCAAAGAATACAATGCTTCAATTAAAAATTCCAGTTTCGATTATTAACTCTAGGGTAATTTTATTTTATTTCATTTTTTTCTCTTGCGTTTATAATTAAAAGAAGAAGGAAAGAAAAGAAAAGGGGGTCATCCTTTTCATGTTGTTTGATACGTGAGAGAACTTTTATAGCTCTCCTTGGATCCGGGATGCATTTCACAGAAGGACTTTACCCTGGCCTTATTACGGGTTACCAAAACCGGTAATCCTGCTAATTCGATGGGGCGCACGTCCTTATGGGTTTTTGCTCCTTGCCCCACGGCATAAGACAACCACTTTCGTTAAAACCATCCAATCTCAAAGTGCCACTAAACTCTAAGCCTCCCCATCTTCCCTGCTCTTCTTTCATGGTCAAAAGGATCATTGAAGTCAATTTTAGAAAAAACGCCTCATATACTCATTTCCACTATTGACACCTTTATCCGAAACAAAAGCGCACCTAAAAAAACAAAAAAAAAACAAAAAAAAACCTTACACATTATCCTACCATCTAATTATTAGACCATTGAAATAAATTTTCGTTTCGCATCTAGACCTGCAGATGGATTTTAATGAAAAAATGTTTCCAAGAGTTTCAAACGAATCAGATCAATTTTAAAAAATTCGTCCGTATTATTGAATTTTGAAAAATTTACATCGGATTTGTAATCAGCGACCCCAAAAACCCCCGAGTATCAAGTTTCAAACGAATCCGACCAATTTTCAAAATTCGTCCGCCATATTGGATCCGCCATTTTGAATTTTGAAAAACTGACATTGCATTTATAATCAGCGATCCCGAAAACCCCCAGGTCACTAGTTTCAAGTGAATCTCATCAATTTTTAGAAATCCGTCCACCATATTGGATCCGCCATTTTGAATTTTAAAAATCTGACGTCGGATTCGTAATCAGCGACCCCAAAAACCCCCGAGTATCAAGTTTCAAACGAATCCGACAAATTTTAAAAATTTGTCCGCCAGATTAGATCCGCCATTTTGAATTTTGAAAAACTGACATCGGATTTGTAATCAGAGACCCCAAAAACCCCTAAATACAAAAGATGACGAAAATTGAATTTTTCTAAAAATAAAGTAGGAAGTTAAAGAGTTAAACATTTTCAAAGATTTAAATCTTGAAGCCAAACGAAATTTTAAATATTCGAAAATATTTCAATTAGGGATCGTCCATAAATTACGTAAGAGATTTAAGGGGAGGGGGGGTCGGCTAGATCTTACAAACAATAGAAAAAATGTCGCTAATGTATGTAAAATATCTTACGAGGGAGGAGGAAAGGAGGTCAAATTTTTCAAAAAAAAAAATCTCTTACGTAATTTATAGACGGCTTCTTAAATACAAAATTACATTTATTTAAAAACTCAACAAATTTCAAGAAAATGTTAATAAAGATTTTTCAAAAATTAACTGTTTCAGAATTTTCAATTATAATAATTAAAAATTCAAATTTTCGCATATAAAAATAATTTCAATTTGAAAAATTTGGAAACTTAATTATCTATAAAAATTATAAACATAACGCTTACAAAATTCAATTATTTTTGAAATTTTAAGGTTATGCTCATTTTTAAATTCGACAGGGGAACCAGGGAATTTTATAAAAAAAGCACTGAAAAAGTATCAAATTTCTAGAATGACTGAAAAAAGAATTCTTCAATTATGAAAAACTTATAAATCAAAATGAATTTAAAAATAATATCTGGATTTGTTTTGTTTCTGTAATAACTTTTTTAAAGTTATGAATTATAATTATCTTACATAGAAAAGATTTTAATTAAAAAATGTTCCATTTTTCAGGAATAATTGAATTTCAGAATAGAATTTTCAACTAAATGTTTTCGAAATTTCACTTGGTGGGAAAAAATCGAATAACACAATATTTATTTAAAAAATTATTTAAGTTTTAAATAATTTTCTTTAAAATTCTGAAAAAGTTAGTGTTCCGAGAAAATTAAATTCCATTTCTCAAAGATACTTCAATTTTTAAAACAATTTTATTAAAACTTTTTGAATTATAATTCTAAGAACTGCTACTAATAATTCTTCTAACACTCAACATTATTTTCTCTAATTTTTAACTAAAATTCTTCTCTAAATCGATTATTATTTTAAATAATTTTGAGAAAACTTTTTGAAAATTTAATTTTCTAATTGTTTAAGAAACTTTACTTAAAAAAATATGTGTAAAATTCATTTGTTTTCCATTCAATTTTGAAAAAGTTTTTCAATTGAATACCCACTTTTATAATGTAATTCGAAAAAATAATTTAAACTGAAATTGAAAACTTTAATTGCTGTAAAGAAATAAATAGTAAACAAATATTTATTTTAAAAAATATTTTTGTTTTAAATAATTTTATTTAAAATTCTGATAAAATTATAGGTATCTGAGAAAAAATTCAATTTTTTTAAGAATCTTTAATTTTTAAAACAATTTTATTGAACAATTATATGAAATTAATGGAAATTTTGTGAAATTGAATTGGAAATTATTAAATTTGTTACAGAATTCGATTCTAAACTGAAACCCATATGAATTTGGTTAAATAAAAGTTAACCTAAAAATCTTCATCACTTATAACTGCTATGTTTCATCTAATTTTCTAAGGAATCTCTAAAAAGTTCAGGATACAATTTTTCTTGTTTACTTTTAACCCAAATAAACCCTCCATACTCTAAAATAAAAAAAAGGTGGGGAAACAGAAGTTGTTATTTTTTTCTCAAGGATTTTCCAAAAATCACGAAATATCAACTAAATTAATAATTTCTCGCCTTAATAGTAATTTTTGTCTCTTGATAATTGTTCATTTTAATATTAGACGATATTTAAAAAAGATTCCAAAAGGGTTGCAGGCGGGGAAAGCAGTGATTTTGAATTTTTCTGTCGTAGATCTTCCTAAAATCCTGGAATTTCATTTTAAAAAGAACCAAAATTACTGCTTTCCCCAACTTGGAACCACTTGCAATTTTTTTTAAATGTCTCATAACATTAACCCTTTGAAGAATACATTTTTCTAGTCAATGAATTTAATAACCAAGTACACTTTTTAGGGGGTTTTCAGAGTCGCTGATTAAGAATCTGAAGTCAGATTTCTAATATTTTCAAAATTCAAAATGGCGGATCCAATATGGCAGACTTATTTTTTTAAAATTAATTAAATTCGCTTGAAATTTGTTACTCGTGGGTTTTTGGGGTCCCTGATTACGAATATGAAGTCAGATTTTCAAAATTCGATATATTTATATATTATATTTATATATATAGTATATAATAATATAATATAATATATAAATTTCGAATTTTGAAAATCTGACTTCATATTCTTAATCAGCAACCCCAAAAACCCCTGAGTAACAAGTTTCATGTAAACTTGAGGAATTTTAAAAAATAAGTCCGCCATATTGGATCCGCCATTTTGAATTTTTAAAAATTGACCCCATATTCGTAATCAGCGACCCCAAAAATTGTCTAGACATGATCCTCAAAGTATTTCGTATTGTTGTTTAGACACAATTACATTTATTGTAAAAAATACTGCTTTTTTAAGTTTATTTATTTATAACAATTATTGTATCAACAAAAAATATTTTTTTTCTGTTTTTTTATAGTAAGGATTGTTTCCCGGATACATGTAGTATGCTTTTTGTCAATGAAACAAATGAAATAGTGCTTGAAAAATGCAAAAAAGTGGAGAAAAAAAGGTGACACTCAGGAGTGACACTATGTCGCAAAGGGTTAAAATAAATAATTATCAGAAGAAAAAAAAAGGTGTGAATTTGAAATTTTGAAAATATTAATCACCATGAAACCGCATTGGAACATAAAACTGTTTCTTCCACAGTGTTGAAGAGACTTTCCACTTGTCTGATCCGCGAAGACATGGGTCTTGTGTGATCGGAAGCCGAAACGAAATTCCCAGCAAAGTCGAATAGAAACTTTTATCTTGATGAATGCGATGCGGAGAGTAAAAGGTTATCATCCAAAGAGAGAAATATGCCACTACCATATATGAGAGTCGAAGAACAAAAATTGTACGAACAAGGTGCGTTCCTTTAAACAAACTATAAACACGAAGCGAATTTAAAGACACGAAAAATTACGTTTCGCGATAAGTGTAATAAAGAAATGTTAT